TGAATGCTGACACCTCTGCTTATGTTCCAGGTACTGACTGCCTGCTCACCTCCATGTGTGGGCCTTGATTGTTTTGTAGTTATGTGAATCCTCTCATTTCCAAGCATTCAGCTGTTGTTCATCTGTTTAGAAGTTCTTTCATTTTATTTCTTCATCTGTGGAGAAAATGGATACATAATCTGCTTTTCAGGCTCTTCTATACTTCCCTTGGCAAACATTCAGATATTACAAGATCTAGATTTGGAATAAGATATGAAAAGCTTACCCCAAACAATAGACTACTATGCAATCCATAAACAGTGTTTTATTTTCCTAAAATTTATAGGAGGAGAAGAGCTATGATGGAAGTTAACTGTAAAAGTAACTGCAAAAGAAGCCAAGATTCTGGCTATATAAAATTTACTGCCAGAAAAACCAAGATTTTAGGCTCTCCGAGTAGTGACCAGTTATGCTACCCCATACGTGGGACACACATAATCTGGAAGAAAAGAGGGGTCTAACTCTGGAAGATTGTACCATGGCTATTTGAAAAGATATATTTTTGTCTGCATTCTTTTTTCTTCTCCAAGTTTTTTTAAAACTATGCACATTAATCATATATTTTTAAAAGTATATATTAGTCAAGTCAAATGTTGATAAATAAATGATGTCAGCCTACCCCTCAGACTATAGTACTATGCGATTCATTGATGAATCCTAATGCCTGAAAAAGTCCTAGGCACATAGTAGGTGCTCTGTGCATATTTGTCGAATGAATGAACCATTAAAGACCAAACAAAGTAAGTGATTCTTGCTTTCATTCATTCATTTATTTATTCAATCATTTAATACTTTAACTAAAAGACACAAATTTAACTAGCAAGATTAAAAAATTAGATCCTCTTGAGTAGACCGACTTTCAAATACTGGGGCTTGAAAAATAATCCTGATATACTACGAATGCATTGAGAATGTCTTCCTTTCCAATTTATCTTCTAAAATTCGAACTAAAATAGCCCCTTGGACCCATTCATACATTGCATTTTCTTTGTAAAATGGACAGACTTAAACTTAGAATGAGTTTTAATACAGTTTTCTTTAATTAAATGTATTAATTAATTTATAGTCTTATTTTTCCTGTTTTTTTTTCCTTTTTTTTTTTTTTTTGAGTTGGAGTCTCACTGTGTCACCCGGGCTGGAGTGCAGTGGCACGCTCATGGCCACCTTAGCGTTGACCTGCTGGGCTCCGGTAATCCTTTAGCCTCAGCCTTCCAAGTAGTCAGAATTACAGGCATGTGCTCCCACGCCTGGCTAATGTTTGTTTTATTGTAGAGATAAGATCTCACCAAGTTGCCCGGGTTGCTCTCGAACCTGCAGGCTCAGGCAATTCACTCACCTCGGCCTCTCAAAGTGCTGGGATTACAGGCTGAGCCAACGAGCCCGGCCAACAGTCATATTTTTTTATTTACCCACACCTGTAATTAAAATATAGTGAAACAATATCCAACAATAAGCAGCTGTTATGTATTCAGTTGTCTTAGAATAGTTTACTCACTAATTGCCTGCTTGCTGGATTTTAAAGAAACAGTATTTAACTGAATTTAATTTTTAGTTGAGCACTATTGGGGTCTATCCTAAGTTAAGTTTTGAAAAAAATCTATTTAAAAAAGAATGTAAGAATTACATATTTTCTGAGTGTTTTATAAACATCTAAACCTTAATGGGCAAAATCAAATCTCAGAAGGTTGATTTCATTGATTGGTTAGTATATTTGATTGGTAAATTACAGAAGAATATCTGGGGAACAGGATTCTCAGAAGAGCCAGGTCCCCATGAAACCTAGGGTTATTGAAAAACACCATCTTACCCCAGTGTCAAACACCAGCAGAAGATGGCAGATTACAGGTTGCACCATGAAGGCACAGTTCGAATATGGGTTAAGGGAGGACGAGGTAGACACTGCCTAAAGCAGGGGACATCTGGGGCTCTGGATGCTGGGAACACCAACAGGTAGGAAGGCTCTTGCAGACACAGGCAGATTCTTCCAGAAGGAAATCAGCGAGGTGTTTTAGTGTCAAATGACAAAAATCTTCTTGTTTTGGTTGTTGGGGCTGTGAATGTTGAATTCTGAAATTACATTGAGTTCAATAAATTATTCCTCATTACCAAGGCAATTGTAGCCTTTGAGAATGTCCTATCTCTATGAAATCAGTAAATAATCTTACCAAATTGACTAGCATATAAAACTGTAATAACCAGAGTAACCAATAGTGCTCTTGAGAGGTCAAAAGTCCATTTAGCTTACTCTAGGGAAGAATACACTTAAGGACCATAATATTCTTGATTTTTTTCATATAATTTCAAAGAAAGCTGCAAAGTTAAATCTGAGGTAACACTAGTTGCCTTACTACTGAATTTTGGGAGGCAACTATTTTTAAAAAAATTTCAGCCTAATATAATTGAAGTAATTAATTTCAGCATTTGGATCTAATCAGTATTTAAATAATCAATATTTCAAGAGATCGTGACTTCCTCATTACTGAAGTCACTTAAGGAATAAATGTTGGTTAATGAATTCAGTTTCCTTGTATATTTGAGTGTGTATTGTGGGACAAACTTCAGCTAACTAGGAAATTGTGGGTATTAAGTGACAAGGGTCCATCCAAGAAAAGGGAGGGATCAATTGTGCAACTCGGATGGCAATCAAGATAATTAGGGATGAGGATGGAGGGTTGGAGGGTGAACAACACATGGCAGAGCAATTTTGGGTGGTGATGAGAGCAGAAATCCTGTTTGCAGTGGATTCAGGAAAGCAAGGAAGGAGAGGAACAGGGGCAGCTCATAGGGAAGGAGTTCTGCGCAGACAAGGCAGTGTTTGCAGATCAGAACAGCATCAAGACCTCTTCTCTGTTTTGTCTTTTTAAAAGGGAGAGGAAACCAACCTGCTTGCATGCTGAGGAAAATGTTCAGCAGAAAGGGGGCCATGAGGGCTTTGGGAAATGAAGGCAATGTAATACTTGTGAAAGGGAGAAAAAAAATAATGTATTCTCTCAACCTCCATAAATTCATTGATGGGACATATTTCTATTAACCAAACAGATTTACAAAAGAAAAACAAACAGTTTTATTTATGCATTCCATGCCCATAATGCAAGAGAAAGCAACTTTCTGGAAGCAGTGGCTTAGGGGCCTTGCTTAAATAGTATTTTAACAAAGAGCCATATATTCTATGTAGTGACAAAACAAAGGAAAGAGCATCTTCAGACTTCCAAAAGGCAGAAACCTGTGGGAAGGTAATGTCTTCTCCTAGATCCTCTGATGCCACTGGCCCTGAGCTGGTAAGAAAGCCTTGAAAAGGAGTTTAATTTAGGTGAAGAGAGGCAGAGCAGGGAAGGAAGACCTTATGTCTTTATAAACCACTGTCCTGCTATCAGGAAGTCAGAGGGAGGAGCAGAGCATTCCCCTGCACATTAACCTTCTTCAGCTCAACTAACCTCAGTATTTGAGAGAGGTATATTTTGTTTTCCTTCTCCTGCAACACCTTCCAGGATGTGGGAGGTGTCGTCACTCATGTTGGCGGGGGTGGGGGGGACGGGGAGTGGGGTGGTGGTTCTTTAGATCCTGGCATGAGCCATTTATTCAGTGGAAGATGTGGGTAGTAGATGTCCAGGAGTCAAAGGTGGTAGGTGGAAGAATTTAGTGCCCTGAGCTTGAGAATGTCCCCGTTGGAGGATTTTAGTTTTTGTTTGTTTATTTTGTTTATTTTTTTTCTTGTGAAATAAATCTCTTGTTGAGCGTAGAGATAGACAAAGGTGAGTTTGAAGTCTGAAGGAGAAGAGCACATGTGAGATAGTCACCTAGGAGACTGAAGAGTGAATAGATGAGATGACATAGAAAGATTGCTACTAAGTGCACTAAGGACACACTGGAGCTTAATGGTTGTGAATTTTAAAGTGGCAGCATCATGTGTTGTGTCTCACCGCTCAACTGCAGGGAAGCTTCTGTATGACTGGTGGACGTTGACTTTATCCAGACTGGGACAGATAATAAATTAAATGAAAGAAAGTGTGGGTATACAGGTAGGAATGATTGCAGTGGCCAAACATATGTATAGTATCTAATGGGGCAGGGGAGGACATTGGTGGGAGTGAGATATAGATTAGCCCAGTACTGTTCTTCATACCCACACACACAGACACACACAGACACACACACACACATACACACACACACACACACACACACACACACACACACACACACACACACGCTCTCTCTCTCTCTCTCTCTCTCTCTCTCTCACACAGACACAGAGGACATTGATCAATATTGTTTGAGGATAAAATGAATAAACTCTCCAAGATGTCATAGGAGATTCTGTCTTCTTTCTTCAGACAAAGAGCACATATGAGTAAGAAAGGCATTTTCTTCCATATGTGCATGATTAAAAAAAAAAAAAAACTTACATGATCACACCAAAGTCTAGTAAAGCAATGGCCGACAAACAAACAAAAACTTTATTGCTGTCAGTCTGAGATTTTTTTTTCTAGCATTATAGAGGTATAATTAACACAGAAAAATTGCATCTACTTAAGGTGTACAACTTGATGTTTCAATATATATTGTGAAATAATCACCGTAATCAGTCTAACTAATATATACATCACCTCAAGTAGTTAAATTTTCTTTTTTTTTGGGTATGTGGTGAAAACTTTTAAGATCTATGAATCAGAAACTTTTTCTGACTGTCTTTGGATCTGAGACATCAAGATTTCAGAGAACCCAAATGAATGAAACTTTCTGAGTCTTTTCCAAAGATTTAATATCCATATGTAGCTTGTGATTCCAGATTGTGTTCTTATAAAAGAAAGATGGAATAATGCATGTGTCCTAAAAAGCCGTGCATAAAGATCTAAACTATTACAAAAATAATATCTAAAGTTCCAAATATCAGTAGTAATAAATATTTCTATGCTTTGTGTACTGTACTTTGCCAAAATGCTTTCTGTCCTCCACAGGCCATGGGGACTCAAAATGTGTCCACCGTCACTGAGTTTCAGCTATTAGGATTCCAGAACCTTTTTGAGTGGCAGATTCTGCTCTTTGTCATTGTTCTGCTCATCTACTTCTTCACCATCACAGGGAATGTCGTCATCATCACAGTGGTAAGCAAGGAACAGCAACTGCACTCGCCTATGTACACATTCCTAAAACATCTCTCCTTTCTGGAGATCTGGTACACGTCCACCATTGTGCCCCTTCTCCTGGCCAATCTTCTCTCCCAGGGTCAAGCCATCTCTTTCTCTGCCTGTATGGCACAGCTCTACTTCTTTGTATTCTTTGGAGCTACTGAGTGCTTTCTCCTGGCCATGATGGCCTATGACCGATATCTGGCTATCTGCAGCCCACTTCACTACTCCTCCTTCATGAGTTCCGACGTTTGCACTAAGCTGGTGGCAATCTCCTGGCTGACCGGGGTGGGCACAGGCTTTTTGCCTTCCTTGATGATTTCCAGTTTAGACTTCTGTGGGCCTAATCAGATCAACCATTTCTTCTGTGACCTTCTTCCACTCATACAGCTCTCATGTTCCAGTGTTTATGTCACTGAGGTGACCATCTTCATTCTGTCCATCGCTGTGCTCTGCATCTGTTTTTTCCTGACGCTGGGATCCTATGTTTTCATTGTGTCCTCCATATTGAGAATCCCATCAGCCTCTGGCCGAATGAAGACCTTTTCCACATGTGGCTCCCATCTGGCTGTTGTCAGTATCTACTATGGGACCATGATCTCCATGTATGTCCGCCCCAATGCTCACCTGTCCCCCGAAGTCAACAAGATCATTTCTGTCTTCTACACTGTGGTGACCCCACTGCTGAATCCTGTTATCTATAGCTTGAGGAACAAACAATTCAAAGAAGTAGTTAGAAAAGTCATGAGAAGGAAGTGTGATATTTATAGAGTAAAAGGAAGATTCCTTATCAGATAAGGAAAAATATGCCCAGAACACAGTACATTAAGTGCAGGGATAAGTGAATGTCAGGTTCAGAGCCTGCAAACCTGAACATTGTTGGTACTGCATTGAATCCTATAAGCATAATATAATAGCTTCTTGATGGTCCCTCATCAACAACTGATCAGAAGATAAATTTCCTTTATCAAACCATTTTGAGGCCCATTTTGTTCTTGGACATTTACTTCCATCTTTTGATGGGAACTGAATGTAAAATTCTAGTGCATGGTAATTTCACACGTATTGATTTCATATTCTGCAATACAATTTATCTTTCATTTACAAAGCTTATATACAGAAAGTTCTGCATCTTTCAAGTACTATTAGGAGACTGAATTTGTGGAAATAAAATTTGGTGGGTGTCATTGGTACTTATGGAATAATTGTAGAAAGAATGAATGGAAAAAGAGAAAAAGTAGACATTTGAAATGTCCAGTGACGAGAAAGAACAAATAAGGATTTTTGAGGTGTCAAGCATTTATCTAAAATGATTTAGACTTTTTAATATTTTAAAATGATATTTAAGGGAAGAAAGAGAGAGAGAGAAACAGAGAAAGAGAAGGAAGGATTGAAAGAAGGAAGGGAGGGAGGGAGGAAGAGGAAAGAAGGAAAGGGAGAAATAAGGGGGAAGGAAAAAAGTGGGAGAGAGGGAAAGAAAAGGAAGGGAGGAAGGAAGGAAGGGAGGGAGGGAGAGAAGGAATGATAGAGGGAGGAAGGAAAGGAAAGGAAGGAATGATTTAAATTATTATACACTACGGTGAGCATTGGGAGTCAAAGGATGTACGCTAAAATGTTTAAATCACTTTTACATTTTCTTTTATCCAGTCAATATTTAGATCTCTACTCATCCTGCCCTTTGCTCTATTCATAATTCCACAAATTTTTTTTTTTAATAATTAATCAGTATTTTTATTATAGTTTTGTGGGGTACAGTTAAGGGTTAGGTGTACAATTACGTTTCATTCAGACACCCTGTTGATAAGAGGTGTTTTCCCAGCCCCAGACAGATATTTGCTACTGTTAATCCCATCTCCCTCCCCCCCATAGTTTCCTAGTACCGTCAGTCATTTTCTTATAGTATTACATTGGATGTTCAAGGTCCATTATATGAGTGAGAACATGTGATATTATGATCTTTGTTTCCCACAAATATTTTTAATCTGATATGTGCCAGATTTCATGTTACAGTCTGAGTAGCCTGAAGACACAATGACTTAAAAAGATCAAGAAAATCTTTGCCTTGATGGAACTTCCAGTCTAGGATGGAAGAGAAAAATGCAATGAATCATGAAGAAATGATGAATTTATTTCTATTTGTGATAATCAATTGAAACAATGTAAAGTGTAAGCTGGTACACAAACATATAGCAGTAAGGTGTGATTCACATAGAAGGTCAGGAGAGTTCTCTCTGTTTATGTAGTGCTTTAAGCTACACTTTAAGTATCAGGAAGACAAGAATGGGAAGAGTGTTCCAGCAAGAGCATGGCATGAATGGCAGAAGAAGAAGGCTGAGGAGGTGGGGAGTTGGGAGAATGAGGTGAGTCTCCAGAGAAAGGCCAGAGCTAGTCCATGTTTGTTGTTAACAGCCCTGTAGGGTTTCTGGATTTGCATTAAGATAAATGATTGGTCAAAGGGTACTAATTAGGGAGTGACATAGTACATTGACATTTGAAAACATCTTTGCTGTATAGAGAGAAGACTAAAAGCAGTAAGACTCGTTGGGATTGGTGCAGTAGCCCACGTGGGAGAGAATGTTGGCTTGGTTTTTGGTTTGATGACCAAATCTATTTTAGGAAGTACCTCACAGGTAGTGAGTATCTCACAGGGAGTTCAGGAGTCTTTCACTCTGGTTTCACCCACTCATTTCCTGCAGTGCTGCCAGTGTGCAGCCTCTTCACAGTCTTGAGATGTTTCACACAGAAACACATGTCTTTGGGTTCTCTTTTCATCCTTTTTCTAAACCTCAGATAGTCTCTCCTTCCTGGACTTTGGCCTGTGGAAACAATCCTTAGTCCATCTTTGATTCATATGGTAAATATTGTGTAAAAGGAGAGTAATTCACTGGAATTTGAGATACAGCAAGAAATGAATATGGTAGGAAAGGAAAGCCTTATTGCTCTAAGCTCTTGGGTGGAATAGCAAAACACACTAAAACATCTTACCTTACATATGTTTATTTCTGATTTGTATATTAATTGTGCCTTAGATTTAACCAGACTCAAGTTGCCTTATTGAAAGCTTCTTTCTAATGCATTAAGTTTGGTAAGCACTGGTCTCTGTGTACTGAAAAAGATGATTAATCCACTTTAGAAGAACTTTGGACAGTTGGATGTAAGGATTTGAAACTAGAGGAAGGGTCTGGCCAAAAGTTTAAAAATTTGGAAATTTTTAAACATATAGATGATATTTGAAAATATGGGAATAGGTAAGAGTTTTTTGGGAGAGAGTGAAAACCAATAAAGAGAGCAAAGAAGAGAGCACAGCAGAATTTTAAAGCATAAAATTTAGTTGAAAGAAGAGAAACTCTAAAAAAGGAACAAGAAGGGATGATCACAGGGGTGGGAGGACATTTATTAGGTAATTGTACATGAGATAAGAGTCTTCTGGGGAGGAAGAGGCTATTAGCATGGAAGATGAGGATTAAAAGGTTTCCATCAAATTTCTCAGCACAGAGATTATTGTCATTTCTGGAAAGAGCAGCATTGTTGGCTTGGGTATGACGTACAGCGGACTCATGACATTGGGACAGAGTGGCTTGTAGGGAAATGGAAGCAACTGAATGTGCAGTTATCCTGAGAAATGTAATTTTGAAAAGGTGAAAGCATAATTTTTGTATTGGTGGAGTAGTTTTTATAAGACGTAAGATTTCAGCATCAGAGTAAGCTTAAACAAGTATGGGAAGAGTCCATCAGTGAGCAAACGCTGAGGCATTGATATAGAAAGAGATAACTGAAAGTCTGAGAAAGAACAAGAAGCAATCTTGTTCAAATGTGGAAACAGCAACATTCAATAGGGAAAGCACTTCATTTACCATAAAAGGCAGAAAGAAGAAATAGTTGCAATCTGGTGGAGCCTAAAGAAATGGACATAGTACCTGTACAACATCTCACCTGAGGCTTGTATGAGACTTGTGCTTCTGAAAGAAAGTCAATAGCTGTTATTTACTACAGAGAATGTAGGATGGCATTTGAAGAAAGTGACAAAAGCTTTCATGCAAATTTTGCAAAGTGAGATTGAGAGCGAACAGAAGACAGATAGGTGGATTTGGAACCAAAAATGAGGACTTAGATGAAGTAGGTTATCATTGGTTTATTGTGATGCTTATCTGTCTGTACTTGTCTGTCTGTGTGAGCACTTTAAGATCACACAACTGCTTGGGGTCAGTCACACGCAGAAAAAGTTAAGGTTCATTTGAGGTTGAAGCTTAGCTCATGGGAATAATGATGTACGTTAAGTAGTCAAACAAAAAATGAATTCGTAAGTGGTAAGTGAAGTAAACTATGGAAGTACAGAGTAAAAACAATGCAGTTGAAATAGGGTTGGTTATTGGAGCTATATGAGTCAACAGGAAGTAATGTAGGTTTGATGTCTTAGATTAGAATTTAAGATCTTTTTCAATTTTGGGTGACCACAGAACCAAACATTAGGCTATAAGAATGTGTGACACAGGTTATGAGGGGAAAGATGGGTTGAATACATAGCTGAGGGCAAGAACTCCAGTAGGGAAGAAATTCATGATCCTAGTGCCATCTGCAAGTGAAAGGGAGTGGCCAGTAGTTAAGTGAATAGTTTCAATGAAGGAAGAGTGGGCTGTATACTTTGATAGCATGAGTCCTTAAATATGTTTTTTAAAAGAATGGAGGAACGATATCCTAGATAAAGCATTAGAGAACATGGAACTTATCATGTCCGTAAACTAACCCTGAACTTTAAGGGGAGTGAGATTTTAAGCAGTACCATGCAGAAGATCGCTAGAACTTATTTATCGTGTATAACTGAAACTTTATACCTGCTGAGCCATAACTTCCTGCACCTGGTGACCTCATTCTATTCCCTGCTTTTATTTTATTTTATTTTATTTTAGCTGCCTCTTAAAAGTGGAATCATGCAGTATTTGTCCTTCTGTGACTGGTTTGTTTCACTTGGCATAATGTAATTGAGTTTCGTCTACTTTGCCAAAAATGTCAGAATTTTTTTGGTCGTTAAGCTGGATAATATTTCATTGCTACCTTTTCTTTTTATTTTTTGCCCCATTTTTTCTTGTTATTGAGATATATTTTTCAAACTATGAAGTTCACTCTTTGAAAATATACAAATCAATGGTTTTTCATATATTTACAGAATTGCACATCCATCACCACAATCAATTTTAGAACATTTTCCCTTGCTCTGGAAAGAAACCCCATAACCCTCAGCTGTCATACCTCAACCCCTCACCCACCAACCAAGTTATAAGCAATCACTTGTCTATGTGTTATCTCTATGGATTTTAATATTCTGGATATTTCATACAAATAGAATCATACAGTCTTTTGGGACTGGCTCCTTTAACATAAATATTTTTAAATTTCACTCATGTTGTAGCATGTATCAGTATTTCATTTATTTTTATTGCCAAATAATATTTCATGTATTTTAATTTCTCCATTAATTAGTTGATGGACATTGGGATTGGTCCGACTTTTTTGACTGCTGTAAATAGTATATGCTACCTTTTCTACATCCATTCATTTGTTGACGGAGATTTGGATCCTTATGTTTCCGTATCTTTTCTGTTGTAAATATGCTGCAATGAACACGAGAGTGCAGGTATCTTTTCTCCATATTGATTTTATTTCCTTTGGATATATACCCATAAGTGGGATTACTGGATTATATGATACTTCTAATTTCAATTTTTTTGAGGAAGCACCATACTGTTTTCCATAGTGACTGCACCAATTTACATTCCAACAAGTGTACAAGGAAATTTTTT